AGCTATAATGGCCGACCCATTGCCAGCTTACTTATCCGTTGGTCTGTGGGTTACTCTGGTTCTACTGCCGACATCCTCATTTTTAAGTTTATTACCCAAAGAAATCCCGAGCATAGCCCTCTCCATAGCCCTCTGAGCGACCTTGAGCTTCAGCATAAGGCCAGCAGTGTTCGACCACGTCTCAGATCCATAAGTCATCGCTGACAACACGCACTGGTTTTACACTCTCGTCTTCAAGTTTTGAGGTATACCTGACGAAAATATGTGTAGTAATTTCCTGAACGCAAGACGATTCGTAATGATTCTCGTAAACAGCACATAGACGAAGCTCAGAAGGTCTGTAGTTCTTCAAGAGAACGTTGTCGCCTTTCTTTAAGAACTAGACCACCGCACTTCTGATCCACCCCTTCGGTGTAGTGCCACCATGAAGGACGAAATTAAGGAGTTTCTGAAGGACTTCAAGTACCAGTTTTCCCGCTTTCAGAAGCTCCGCTGCAAATCCATCCACGCCTGAGGACTTGCCATTTTTAAGGTGCTGGAGAGCCATTCTAATCTCGCTCAGACTGACGTCCGGAATATCATCGGAATAGTTTGGGATAAGTCTTGCTCTTGGATCGTTACTCACACTTGCGTGTTGCTACAACGATGATTTGTACATCTGCTCATAGAACCTCTCAATCTCACTCAAAATTTCAGATGCTCCGGAAAGAATGCTGCCAAAATGCCTGAGTTGTTATAAAAGGTATGAATACAATTTGCATACAAAAAAACCTAACATTTTGAGATTTACTGATACCAATTTCAGGAATGACTTATTTGAAACCAAGTTTCAGCAGTTAACAAGCAGTTAAGGGGCAACAGATATGGGTATCTTTCATAGCTTTAACAAAAAAAAACTTTTGTGCGTAAAATTAATTTTCATTAAGATAGCTATAGAGATTACGAATGCAAAGTGAAACTTTATATTTAATGTCAATTAGGTATATTATTTGTACTCAGAAAGAAGCAGAGTCAAAGATGCCTAATTCAATTTGCGATCTACGTGGCAAAAAGTCAGAAAGGATTTGAGACGCCTTAAGAGGAGACCCATATTCAATTGTTTAATTGGGCTTACAAATAGGAAAGAGTAAAAACATTTCTTAAAAATAATGCATAGCTGAATTAAACAAGTCAATTGAAAATAGATCGAAATCAAAGTTTCTCGTATCTGTTCGAACAAGTTTTCACTCCATTCCACTTTACATGTGACACGGGCATTAAACATTATTTTGATAATATTTTTCTTGGAAAGATATCCTTTTAGAAATAACTTTATCTCGTTTTCTATTTAGCTACTTTTACTGAGTCGTAGAATTCCTTATTTCCTCGACGTCCATTTGGGTTCATATCATCCTCTTTACTTATTTGTTACTGTCACCAAGCCGAGTTACACAATCCTGTGTTCCAGATTGGAGGTCTAAACTACAATTATAGTCTATGGGGCATTTTATCTTAGATAACGATGTGGTATAAAGAATGCAGTTGATAAATGAGACATAAAAATTAATGATAAATACGCGTTAAATACCAACTTTTTAAATTAAATATGATTGTTAACATCGGTAGAATTAATTTTCTTTTTGTAAATAAATCATTTCATATCTCTTAATGTAAGGGAATATATTATACATAGCAGTTGTGAAAAGCCACTTTAATTCAATTGAAGCAGACTGGCGTAAACGTCATACACTACTTTGTTTTAGTTTTAGAAAAAAAAAAACAATTTTAATTAATAAGATTGGAAATTAAGTATAACCATAATTTTTACAAAGGGATGGAAATAAAATTTCTAATGAAAAATTTAAAATATTTCGTTTGGTAACAAAAAAGTATAAAAAACCAAGGAAACATTTAAACTAAGCGAAGTCAACTCATGTCTTAAAGTCGATGTAGGTATGTTTATCAAAATTTTGATTAAAACAACATTATTTTTTATATTAATGAAAATAAATAACATCATTTCACTATAATTTAAAAACAATAAGAAATGGTACAAGTCTGATTCTTATGATAGGTAAACTAAACTTACTTTATAATATTTGTTTTAAATATTAACAATTATGCACTTTATGAATAATAGTATATGAATATAGAATATGTATTAAAAGCAATTATCAAAATCAAATAATTAAATATAAATCATTTTGTTACTAAACATATGAATATGTATACTACTAGTGTTTACCCGCGGCCGTAGTAGCGGCGCGGAGTAGCCAAATTTTAAACTTAAGTTGAAATATATATAAATGATATACCGTTATTAGTGTTTTTGAAAATACGAGTAAATAAGGCTTTTATTTTATTTGTAATGATCCCAAATTGAATGTGAATTATCAACAACTCCGCGTACGCGCCATCCTCTGTGTGCGATTCAATTCACAACGTTTTTGCCGACAGATCGACCCTTACGAATGTGTGCGTGCGTTGCAAAATAGGTGTTAGATATTTCTCAATGACAAGCAGTTTACATAATGCATTACCACGTATTTTGAATTAAAAAGATAAAAAGTATAGAATTTTTGAGATTTTTTTAAAATTAATTTTTCTTCAATAAATACTCAGGTACATAAAATAAAATATGCAATAAAATAAATTAAAGTATTGTTGCGCGCCACTATTAATGTCTTGTACATGGCAACACTAGTTACCACTAGCGCCCTCTAGTATCGAGTAGCAGAACTAGGAAAGTCAAGATCCTTCAAAAAATTTCGGGACCGATATGTACTCGATCATTCTAGATGTTTCTACAGTAGAAGTTTCTGGAAACTATCTGAGGCCCTATATGAGGCCAGTATAGACCACGACCGAGTCAGTATTGAATTGGCGATACAAGCGAATACTTCAAAGCGAAATAACTGCGAACTAAAGTGATCAGTAGTACAATTGTGTTTTACTATTAGTGTGTTTTTAAATTGTAATTAGTGTTCTGTAATTAAAGTATCAATCTTGGTAATTCAATCGGCAGTTTTTAATTGTCTTGAACCCCAAGCTTGTAACAGTATGTTATTACTATAAGGCCAATTTCAAACCCTTAATAGTCTGTGGTCAAACAGTCGCACAGACTAGAAATTTTCACCGAAGAATTTTAAAATTGTGCTAACAAATTTATATGACATTAACTGAATAAGCTGTGAATTTTGTGTGGTTTCAAATGTTTCTTTTTCAACACTGTGTGGAGTGTTTTTCAAGGCAAAATAACGTTTATTACATATTTTGTATATAGTATATTTGTGTTTTATATATAAATGTGCAGTTGAAAGTAAAATGCAGCTTGCTTAATGTGCAACCCTAAAAATATAATCAATTAGGCGACCACTAGGCGACCTGTAGTCTAAATAAATACAGGGTTTTTCAATAGGCCGGGTATATTTGAATTGAAATAAAAACAAATAGATTGTTTACAATAAAGTTATATTTTCTGTCCGTCTGTTCCATTTCTTAAATGATCACCACGGCTTCGTATGGTAGCGTGAATACGAGAGCTCCAATTTTTTGATATAATGGTGCCTCTATATCATTGATGACGCGTGTGATGTTACTCTTTAGGCCTTCGACAGTTCTTGGATTGTTCACATACACCAGTGATTTCACATAACCCTACAAAATTATCAAGGGGCGTTAAATCACATGATTATGGAGGCCATGTCTTATACCGGAATCTTGAGATTAGGAACCCGTTAAATTTCTCTTTCAATAAATTGACTGTTTCTTGGGCGCTGTGACCGGTGGCACCGTCCTGTTGAATCTATATGTTAGATCCATTTTTTCCAATATTGGCCAAAGTAAATTCCGAAGCTATGACAGCACTGACCTGGTTCTTAAACAAATAAGGACCAATTATGCTCCCAGCGCAAAATGTGCACCAAGCATCATTCTTTCAGAATGCAACGGCCTCTCATGAATCTGTTGAGGATTTTCATAGGCTAAATTCAACTATTTAGCTTGTTTACAAAACCGTTGAGCCAAAAATGAGCTTGAGCGCTAATTGAGCGCGATTATTCTATTATTATATTCTGCAAAAAATTGTGGTAGTCATGAATTTGCTGTAAAGCCCAGTTCTTACGGTAGCTGAAGAAGAAACGACGTACACTTTTCATAAAGTTGATGTTTTAGACAGGCGTACTAGACGTCTAACTTCGGGATTTCTCAAACACTTTCAGCCACCAATTAGATATTATCGGTGTTTTGCACACTTTGTGACGGGTGGATAATCCATCACATAGATTACTGTAGATAGATGCACGACTCAAATTAAATTTTCGTTATTGCGCTGTTTGTCCAACAGATGGCGATAAATTAAAAGTGCTTTAAGCTCTCCCTTTATTTGCACACATTGTCATCGTCATAATCATTGTCATCATCATGATCATCGTCATCGTCATGATAATGATCATCGTCATCGTCATGATAATTGTCATCGTCATGATCATTGTCATCGTCATCGTCAAGATCATGATCATCGTCATCGTCATGATCATGATCATGATCATCGTCATCGTCATGATCATGATCATTGTTATTGTCATCGTCATGATCATCGTCATCGTCATGATCATCGTCATGATAATGATCATCGTCATCGTCATGATCATTTTATCGTCATTATCATCGTCATGGTCATCGTCATGATCATCGTCGTGATCATCGTCATCGTCATGATCATCGTCATCGTCATGATCATCGTCATCGTCATGATCATGATCATCGTCATCGTCATGATCATCGCCATCGTCATCGTCATGATCATCGTCATCATCAAAATCATGATCATCGTCATTGTCACCGTCATGATCATTGTCATTGTCATCGTCATGATCATCGTCATCGTCATGATCATCGTCATCGTCATGATCATAGTCATCGTCATGATAATGATCATCGTCATGATCGTACTGTAAGAAATAAGTGTCCCTTGAAAGATGTGCTTATGCTCTTGCTTAAAGAACTCAAGCTCGGCTGGATCAAGAAAGTGGTATTTGTGCTATTTGCTGACATTTTTGACGTTTATCGCCATCGTCATCGTCATGATCATCGTCATCGTCATGATCATCGTCATCGTCATGATCATCGTCATCGTCATGATCATCGTCATCGTCATGATCATCGTCATCGTCATGATCATCATCATTGTCATGATCATCGTCATCGTCATGATCATCGACAACGTCATGATCATCGTCATCGTTATGATCATCGTCATCGTCATGATCATCGTCATCGTCATGATCATCGTCATCGTCATGATCATCGTCATCGTCATGATCATCGTCATTGTCATCGTCATGATCATCGTCATCGTCATGATCATCGTCATTGTCATCGTCATGATCATCGTCATCGTCATGATCATCGTCATCGTCAAGATCATGATCATCGTCATCGTCATGATCATCGCCATCGTCATCGTCATGATCATCGTCGTCGTCATGATCATGATCATCGCCATCGTCATCGTCATGATCATCGTCATCGTCATGATCATGATCATCGTCATTGTCACCGTCATGATCATTGTCATTGTCATCGTCATGATCATCGTCATCGTCATGATCATCGTCATCGTCATGATAATGATCATCGTCATGATCGTACTGTAAGAAATAATAGAATAGAGAAGTGTCCCTTGAAAGATGCGCATAAGCGAGAAAGAACTCAACTCGGCTGGATCAAGAAAGTGGTATTTGTGCTATTTGCTGGCATGTCGTGACATACGTTTACCGAGTGAGTACGACCTCTGAGAACAGCAAGTAGGTATTCAGTCGCGCAAAAGGCAAGAGTGGATGTGCCACAACCTGATCTTGTATATCAATACAATTGCTACATGGGTGGCGTGGATCGTTTAGATCATAATGTAGGCATTTACAGGATGGTAATTAGAGGCAAAAAGTGGTATATCCTTATAATTTTCTGGCTTATTAATGTGGCTACAATACAATGCAACACTTCTCGCACGATAAATGCGCAATGATGACACTTAATGAGGCACTTTTTTTTTACTCTGTGCAATCCCCGTGATAGCTACGATATAATACACAAAGAGATGTAACATTAGAGTCAAGCCGATCAGAAGGAGCTCGGTTGCTGATGATTCGAACCACTCTGCGCTGGATGCGATCAAATGGAAGGAGCTGGAACTAGAGAGTCCCGGACCAGGGATGGACACAGTATTTCATGTGCAACTGAACCTGCGCCTTGTAAAATTGCAGGCGGTGCGCCGGCATGAAATACTGTCCCGCTCTGCTGCGCACACTAAGGTTTTAGAGGCCAATTTGCCCTTTTCTTCGTAGTAACCACGAAACTGCACGCCATTCGATATGTGGACGCCGAGGATTGTGATACTTGTTGAGACAACAGGGGGATCGGATTTCCTGAAACTGAGGAAATGCGACAAAGGGGTTATTTTTCAAAAACTATTTTAATAAATTAGGTGTAAAATTACTTACAAATGAAATGTGATGCCATCCATAGCATCAGAGCGTCTATCTGAGTAGTTTTTACACGATAAAACACAACACTTCATCCTTTTCTTCTTAATATTACGAAAATATACCGATTTGTGATTTTTAACAAATAAGCGCACAGGACGAATGCTGACAATATACTAACTAAAGCCACGCCAACTATGATTTGTTTTTATAGAATTAGGTTAACAAACGAGCACACAGTCCACCTGATGGTAATTGGTTGCTGTGGCCCATAGACATCTGCATTTATTTTCGTTTGCGAATCAAAATGCAGATGCGTTGACAGCCGTGAGGACTAATATTCGGTTCTCTACACTCACCATACGAAACGCAGCAGTGTTAAGATGCTAATTTACGTTGGTATTCTATGTGAGCGTGGTCCTTCCCCGGTCGAGCCGACCCATTCGTGCTACAACTATACTATTAATATAGCTGCAGCATGGATCTACCACGTACAAATGATGACATCAAGACCTACTTAAAATCACAGTGCACAGTTACTTATGCCGTCTCCTCTTTGTATTTGCTTCATGAATCAGAAGCTGTTGGTAATGCCTCATAATTAAGCTAAAGAAGCCTGTTCACTAAGGGGCTCAAAAAGTTTAAAAACAAAAAAAAATTAATTAACTGACTCAATCTAAAGCTGTTTATTATTTTCTGCATTCCCAACTTACAGAACGATCATTTTTGTTAATGTGGTCGATATTATGCGTTTACATGATTTTTAATTGTATTAATTGTAATTAGATTTTAAGTTCTTTAAGGTTTGTTTTTATTCAAGTTTACTTAATACAAAACAAAAATTTTATTTTGTATACGCCGCCATATTATGTTCTATTTTTTATCCTTATTATTATTTCACTTACATATTTTTGAAGGATTCGCGATAAAATATCCATCAAAATACGCCGAAATCAAATTCCAGCTCATCAAAATAAGTGTATGGACAAAACTTCCAAAAGAGTTGTAGTTCTTTTGAAAAGACAGTTTTCGATAGAAGACTTAATAAGGCTGAAAAAAGAGCCAAACAAGCACCGTTAGAAGCGCTTTTGATCGCAGATATACATTAAAAAAATGCCACCAGTGTTCTATTTCGCTTGTTTTAGTATGGAACACGGACTTAGATAATAAATATATTAAATTCCAAAACTCAACAGAATAGAGTTGAAGTCCCTTAAGTCATATAAGTCGCTTCGTAAAGCTGCTGCTGTGTAAAGTTTTGCGTTAAAGTTAATTATGTTGGTTTGATGAATATTTAAATCCACATTAAGGAAGATATCTTAAAACTTCAAGTAATCTTTTATATTAGCAGTTGCTTAAATTTTTAATACGCAAAGTTAATAAATAAAATACTAACAATAGGAATTATAATTTATTTAAAACGCTTTTTTTTTTCAGAGAAGGAGCTCAATATTGAAACGTAAATACTGCTCGTGCTAATATATTTTTTACGTTATTTCTTGACGTAATATTTTTTTTAAAAACGTTACCCTCACACTAAAATTTTCTCCTGTATCGTGGAAGCAGTTTACAAACATAAATTGCACAAGGACAAACTTACAGACCCGGAACAATTATTTGTAGGCCATACAAATACTTGTTCCGAGCTGGATTCGAACCCGCGGCCCCCAGTGTTGTAACTCATTGCTAAGCCACTGCGTCTCGGAGCCGTCAATAAAAATCATAATAATATACAGATTTTACATATTAGGTTATAATTTCATAGACTCATTTTCACTACACTAAAGCATAAGCAGGAAGTTCAAACGAACTTAATAAACATTTTAAGTTGCACAGTGCACGATTTCGATTTCATTAAATAAATAGAGATAAAGTTATTTTGACATGAAGTGTTGAGTTCTATCGCCCTATGACCAAGTTCTCCAACCTTCAGCTCACCGTCCTTTCTTGTCCTTTAGGTTTGTCTTGTCAGGTTTACGCTGAAATCTCCCATTAAATTTGTATAGTGTGTTTTGGAGATATGCAGTTACAACAAAGATTACTATCTCAAGAGCCATGCATTCCTTACATCTCCTGCACCTCGTCATTGGGATACGCTGAGTTTGGTGTGAAACTTATGTGACGTTTACGTGGTAGAGCCATGCTACAGCTATTATTAGTATATAGTACGAATGGGTCGCCTCGACCAGGGAAGGACCACGCTCTCACAGAATACCAGCATAAAATAGCAGCTTAACGCAGCTATGTTTTGTATGGTGAGTGTAGAGAACCGGAGACCCTTTTTACTGAAAACGAGGCATTCCATCTTAGTCCTCACGGGTGACAACGCATCTGCATTTTGATACGTAATCGAAAATAGATGTAGATGTCTATGGGCCACAGAAACCACTTACCATTAGGTGGACTGTGTTCTCGTTTGTCACCCTTATCCTATAAAAAAAAACCTTTAACAAATATTGTTTGGTGATTCTGAGTACGCAATCCTTGTTGATACGCTCCCCAATCCTTCTTTTTTAGTATGAGAGGAGACAAATTGTCATACGGCTCACCTAATGGTAAGTGACTACCACCGCCCGTGAACAAATGCAACACCAGGGGAATGGCAGATGTGTTACCGGCCTTTTAAAAAAGAGTAGGCTCTTTTGAAGGTCCCTAATCGTATCGGTCCGGATCTTGTCTTCCCCCTCTCGCTGTACCTCCCATAATCCTATAATGTCCTGGCACAACTTGTGGTAGAACTCTATGTTCAACAGATGTAATGACTCAACATAGCTTTTAAAGAGAAAAAAACCTAATGGGCAGCACTGTGTTCATTTGTTGCAAAAGAACGCCCACCTTAATATCGCAATTATGACCAAGGAAACCATTCAAATTCATGGCTGTTAAGTGCTTTCATACCCGCCGTACTCTTCCAATCTGGCACCAATGGATTTCTACCAATTTCGATCTCTTACAAACACTGTGAGTGAACTTTGGTTCAATACTGATGTGGAATTGGAGCGCTTGCTTGAATGAATGTTTCGAGTCAAAACCAGGTGATTTCTACCAACAAGGTGATCAAAACCCTATTGAAATTAGAAAGAAGTTGTAAACAATTAGAAGAATTACATTATTGATTTATTAGTTGTTAATTTTGATTGACATGTAGATTTAAAAATAATTTTTAAAAAGGGCGTGAACATACTCGAATTTACGTACATCAATATAAAAACTTTAGTCGTATCAGTATACATAATACACATATAACAGAAAATATGATAGAAAAAACAGAAATTTATTCAATCAATTTGATATGGAAAGTAATTTTATAGAATATATAATAATTGATGAATTATTTATGTATTTTTAATTTGGATTACATGAAAGTTAATTTTACGTAACCTAAAAATGTACAGTAATTACCTCTTCAGTCCTTTATACTGTAATGTGTAACTCAACTGGACAAAGCCGTAGTCCGTGTCAAGTAGAATATATTACCTCATTAAGTTAACGATAAACTGTTTGGCTACTGCTTTTAATTTGTTTAATGTACAGCAGTATATTGCTTTTGCTTTTACCTTTTTCGGAATGCTTCGAATTTATTCGCTAAAACATTACATTAGTATTAATCTATAGCTTGTCTTTATTTATTCCCAGTTACTCCGTGTTAGTTAATATAAAAAGCTTATGTAAAGATTATCTGATATTCGCATCAATCTGAATTTCTACTACCACACATACACGCATGATGAGATGCTACTCATCATCACAATAGATACATAGCATTTAAGTTTAAGGTTCTGGGTAGCGGTGGAATAAGTAATGGGTGTTACTATTTTATAATAGTTAAATAAAATAATAATAATAAAATGATTTATTTAGTTCCAAATATAAATTATGTATATATACTCGTTTGCATCCCATCAAAAAAAATTAACATAGGTGATAAACATAATTAATTAGGAACTAAAATGGCGTCTACTAAGCACAAATGCATAAAGCAACACGGGCCGCCGACGTACCGGACAAATATTAGAGAAATCACAGAGTGGTTAACTATAACGCTGATTTTCAGTACACGCCAATTTTAGTGCATATTTTTTCCGGAAATTACTCACTTTGTTATTATTTTCTTTGATTCGGGTCCATGTTCTTATCACTGTAAAACACTTTTGTGAAATAAGCCC